GCTGGATCTGGTAACATGGATTTGTAATTTTTCTTTTCTACCACATCAGCAAGATGTGATTCTATGGTGGACTGTATGTTTTCTTTTCTTATTTACTTTATGGAACAATAAAGCTCTATTTTAGACCTACAAGGATGGTCTGCATGCTTTCAGCATGGGAAGGCTGATGAAGGAAGCTGTTTCCTGAGCTCTGCTGCATTTCAATCACACTACATCTGAATAATCAACAAAGGTTATGGGGCCTAGGAAGAGATTTTTGACTCCAGAGAGAGCTGATTTATGGCCTCTCAGACACGTCTTCAGCAACGTGGAAAGGAAGCAGAGGAATGTGCTGAGGGAGGCATGGCTTCTGGAACTCGTCAGCCGTGAGTAGAGCAATGCATTTCTGCATGGTTTCAAAGAGCTGTCTGGCCATTTGGCTAAATGCAAAGTTTTTTTTAAAGAACTGAGTTCTGGCCTGAGCATTTTAAAAAGACAGTTTTTCTTCAAAGAGACTGGAGGGTGGAAAGCTGCTAAAAGACTCTTTTGTGTATCAAATGAGTCACAATGGAAGCAGTGAAGTTTTCAAAACTCACAGACCAGAATTACCCCTCCTGAAGCATATACGCGAAGTCGCTACTGGTGAGGGAAAATCTTTGGACGATAGTCCAAACTGGTCTTCCGCAGGTGCCCATTCCAGCGGATGTGAAGAGGAATGAATGAGCTTGCGCAACCTTAAATCTCATCCTCTTATAAGGACAATTAAATTATGTGAGGGAGAAAACTTTGGCTAAGGACATTTGAGATTCCCTGGGGGACGTTCACCAGTCTGCTTCAGCTTTAGCCAAAATGATGTGGTGCAATAGACTGTATGAGCAGAAAATGGAGAAAGGTCAATCTCTAGAACAACATCTGGAAGTGATGAGGGACTTATCTAACCAAGTACAAATGAGAGGAGTCGAAATTCCTCAACTTCAAAAGGCATTTATCCTTTTGGGTTCACTTGCATCTAGTTATGATAACATCTTGCATGGTTTGCAAGGAGTGCCTGAAGCACAGATTACTATGGAGCCAGTGGCTTCTAGAGTACTTGAGGAAAGCCAGCGCTGGAGATTTGAAGCAGGACAACACAGACAGGCATCAGCAGCTTCAAAGTCCTCAAATGCTGTAGAGGGAGCGTCCAGAGAGATGCAGGCAGAGAAGGCAGCTGTTTCCAAGGAAAAGATATGCTTCTCCTGCAAGAAAGCAGGTCATTTGAAGAAGGACTGCAGGAAATTTGCAACAGACAAGAAGAAGAATCAAGAAAGGTTATGGGCCCAGCACACTTCCTATCTGATCTTGGAAGTTAAGCAAGGTCAGCTAAGGTTTGTACTTGGATGGAAGACTGCCAATTATTTTTCAGTTGTGTAGACTGTATTTTGGAGGAAGAATTGGCAAAACCATCTCTGAGTATCCCTTTGCTAAGAAAATCCTATGAAATCTATGGGATCGCCATAAGACAATAAGTGACAGGAAGGTACATGCATACATATATGGCAGGGGTAGGCAACCTTTTCCCTTTAAGGGCCGAGGGACTTCAGCTCCCAGAATCCCAGGAGCTATTGGCCAACATGGGATTATTGGCCAACATGGCTGAGGCTTCTGGGAGCTGAAGTCCCTCGGTCCGTAAAGGGGAAAGGTTGCCTACCCCTGATATATAACATAGCAACCTGATTGAAATGTACTTCTTATATGCATGAGCCTTGGGCTCATGTGTTTCTCTCCCTTTTCCAGATTCACTGTCAGGAAGAGGTGAAGACTCATTGCTTACAATTTCAAATACTTGCAGTTTATCATCATTTCTGAATCTAAAACTCTGGCTAGCCTTCACTATAGTTTAGGGCAGGGGTAGGCAACCTTTCCCCTTTAAGGGCTGAGGGACTTCAGCTCCCAGAAGCCTCAGCCATGTTGGCCAATAGCTCCTGGGACTCTGGGAGCTGAAGTCCCTTGGCCCTTAAAGGGGAAAGGCTGCCTACCCCTGGTTTAGGGCAAGGGTGGGCAAAGACTGCATAAACAGCATTGGCTACATGCTGTTTATGCAGTCCCCCAGGGCTCCCCAGAGATTTTTTTAAAAAGCATGTTTAACACTCATGGGGGGGTACTACCACTGCTCCCCAAATATCTGCCTTGGACTGTGGCATTTGCCAATGTCCCTTTAAAATGCTGGAGCTCAACTGGTATGAGGCTCAATGGGTGGAAAAGAAGAGGCCTCAGAATTTAATGTTATGGCAATAGTTGGGACACAAACAACTAGCAAAATTAAAATTATATCCTTAAATTACAACACCATACACACAGAGAGAGGCCCTTGTTCGTCCCATAATGCCGCATTTTAATTATTTTTAATTTATCTAACATTAATCATTGGATGTATTTTATGATGCAGTGTTAGTTTCAATTAGAGGTAAGGGGATCATGTTATTTAATTATGTTGTTTTATAGCTGTATTGGTGTATTTTTATGATTATTACCTGCCTCGATCCTTTGAGGAGAGACAGGCTGTAAATAAATTATTATTATTATTATTATTATTATTATTATTATTATTATTTAAAAGTTACTCTTTAAATTTTCTTTTAAAATGTCACATTTTACCAAATTTTCACTTTCATTATATGAAACTATGTAAATGTAAATACATTAAGGCTGTGTGTAGGGTGTTAGAATTTAAGGATATAATTTTTAATTTTGCTAGTTGTTTGTGTCCCGTCTATTGCCATAACGTTCAGTAATATTCAGGAATTATGATTTATGAGTAACATTAGTACCAAAAAAACCACAAACCCCACCACCTTACAAAGGATTCTGTATGGTGCAGTATGGAAGGAGGTCAATGGGAAGGTGACACCATGAGTTACTGCACTGAATAATGCCAACCCTAGTGACACCACTAGGTCAAAATGTAGAGAAAACCTTCTTTGTGGTGGTTTCACTTTGGAAGTAGCTCTCTAGGGAAGCTAGAGCATTCCCTCTCTGTTGTCTTTTCAGTGGCAGATTAACACCTTTCTTTTCCAGCAATACTTTGGGAACTAATTTTTAACAAGAGAAGGGCTTTTAAATATGGGTTTGATACTGTATTTTTAAATTCTGTTTCAATCTCAACTTTGCATGTTTTAACTACACTCGTCCCTCCACATTTGCAGCTTTGACTTTTGCGGATTTGATTAATCACGGATTTTATTAATATGTTCTCTCTAGGCAATTTTAACCAAGAGTTGCACTGAAGGACCTAGAGATTCCTAGAGAGAACACTCCATTAGGCAATTGTAGCTCCTCCAGCGCAATTCTAGGGTCAATGTCTGGCAGAGGTTGATCACAGAGTTGCACTGGAGGACTTAGAGATTCCTAGAGACAACACTCCACTGGGCATTTGTAGCTCCTCCAGTGCAATTCATTGATCAATATCTGGAAGATGTTGACCACAGAATTGCGCTAGAGGACCTAGGGATTCCTAGAGAGGTGTTCTCTCAGGTAAAAACATAACGTTTTTGTTATTTGCGGTTTTTCCACATTCACGGGGATCTTGTGCCCCTAACCCCAGTAAATGTGGAGGGATAATTGTACATGTATTTTTAACCACGTGTTTTTATTGTAATTTTCTGCCAAGGTTGCTGTAAATAAAATATTTTAGTGGCTCAAGGTTTCCTCATATCATGCTTTGTCTTGTACTTTACTCCTCCCTTGAATGTTTATGTGGTGCACTATGATGGTAATTGTAGTCCAACACAGGTTTGAGAATGCTGCAGGGCTTCAATTTGTATTGACACACTTTGCAGCTAGAAACACTACTAATGTCATATTCCTTATGAAAATTTTTATAGTGATACCATTTCTGTTATTTTCCAGTACTTTTCCAATATCAATTTATTTAGTGCAGTTTGAGAATCTTGGCTTTTTTCTTTTAGGTCATCTGTCTGCCTTTACTTGCTCCAAGCCTGTGCATACAGAGCCTAGAAAAATAATAGCGTCATAATGCTGTTTTTGGCTGGAGTGTCTTGCTTTTAGTCTTATGCCAAAAGAGCATTGTGATAGTATCATAACTGGCTTAGGTTTTAAGGATCGGAGTTCAACATTTGTGTTCAAAGCATCAGCTTTCATGGGTCCAAAACACACTGCAGAAATAATCCAGTTTGAGACAGCCTTATTCAAAGCTAGGGAATTCTGGGAACTATAGTTTTGTAAGTCATTTAGCCTTCTCTGTCAGAGAGCTCTGGTGCCACAATAAACCACAATTCCCAGGAGTCCCTAGCCCTGAGCCAGGGCAGTTAAAGCAGTCTCAAACTGGATTATTTCTGCAATGTGTTTTGGACCATGTTCAAAGGGTCACTTCACTTGTAACAAACTGTTCTGTATGGATGTCATTTGAACTTTTACACACTCATCCTCTGTACAGTATTGCATGTGGTAAAATCATAGAATCATAGAGTCATAGAGTTGGAAGAGACCACAAGGGCCA